CGTTATTCGAAGTTGATTAAAGAAAACGTCATCGTAACTTTGCTGATTATTTCTGCTTTATTCACATATTTTCAGCTTAGCTTTATGTTCTCAAACATTCATCAATCTTAAAGTATATATATGACACGAAAAGTAATTTTCGCTCATTTGAAAGGCCTTTCAAAACACCGAAGAATGGCGTTTTTCTTTTTGAAATATTGTTTTTCGTTTTAGAGATATTGACATTTTTCTATTATGCAAATTAGATCAGTGATGACGTCATATTGTTTGCAACTAAAAAGTGGAAAATATTGAATAAACGATGTCTCTGGAAATATTGGAGCAGCGTTCTTGAAACTTGGCACCACAAATGTGCATCACAAAAGGAACAAAATGACACCCTCAGTGAGTTACCATAGCAACTCTTTCGGTTCCAGTCTCTTTCTGTCAAAAACTAAAAATCCCCATTTGCAACCTCTTAAGTGAGACAAAAAGTCCTACTTGGAACAGACATAGTTCCTATACTGTCTTACTCCCATCATTAGATTGGGTGGTGTAGATGGTTCTTGGTTTAAGACAAAAACTGGGAATTTCAGTTTTTATTAGGACAGCATTAGCGGCAAAACTGTTGTCATGGCAACAGCACTAAGGGTGTCATGTTGTTCCTTTTGTGATGCACATTTGTGGTGCAAGTTTCAAGAACACTGCTTCAATATTTCCAGAGATATCGTTTATNGATATTGACATTTTTCTATTATGCAAATTAGATCAGTGATGACGTCATATTGTTTGCAACTAAAAAGTGGTAAAATACTGAATAAATGATATCTCTGGAAATATTGAAGTAGTGTTCTTGAAACTTGGCACCACAAATGTGCATCACAAAAAAAATGACACCCTTATGCACTTTAAGGTAACAAAACTGATATAAAAAAATGATAACACATATGTGTGGATAAAAATGGTATCCTTGCATGTGGGATATTGGTTTTACCAATTTGCTACCACTAGGTATACCACTATTGAATAAGTTTTATATAATAAAGGTTCATAATATTCACTCCAGTTTTGTTACACATGTTAATGTGATCACCAAGTTTAAAATTCCTTCATCACTTGGTTTTTTAACTAACATTTTAGCAGATGGTAAAGGTCATGAAATCACACTGGAGCTAGATGCACACAAGGAAGGACTCCTTAGGGACAAATTTGTGCTTAAAAATGAAGCTGAAGAAGAATTTGTGATTGTGCTTCATGCAAGAGTTCTTGGAGCACGTAAGGGAACTCCCATGCTGAAGGAAAAAATACGATGCATACACCATGCAAAAGATGAAGAAGAAGAACACAGTGACTGGACAGGCTTTGAATGATGAGAGGAGCAGTCATTAGTAGATACAAAGATAATACTGTTAGTGTATTTTGTGATTTAATCCTCTGCTCAAAAGCTGCTTTTTACATTTTTAATAGCTGTGACTTTTTCAGGGTTGGGGGGCAGGGGCGAACCAGCTCAAGGTCCAAACCCTTACCCTTTCATGTACCATTTTTGACAGGAAAGCTAATCCTTTTAGAAAACATCCTTTGAAAATGGTACCAACTCTCCACCTGGAACATTCTTGCACACTCATTCACTAATTTTAATATATAGATTTAGCCCAGCCTAAAAGCAGAGCTCCTGTTGAGTTTTGTAACTTTGTGGTGAGTTTTTTTATATTGTTTGACCTTCTATTTTGAGTTTAAGTAATCTCAAACTACACAAAACATAAGCAGTGAAAAACATTTTTAAACAAGAAAAATTTATAGTTTGGTTCACTTTTAATCCTGGGTTAGCGTTAACCAGCTTCTGAACAACCCGGCCCTGATTACGACAAGTTAAAACTCTGCTTGAGCCCACAATCCAATCGAAAGCCAGCAATTAGTCAGTGGTCAACTTACAAAAAATAAACATGTGATCTCTATGAGCTCTAAACTTGAGCCAGCAATATGGTCAGGTGATACTGGTCAGTGATTACCTTGTTTTGACAGGTGTCAATTATTGACCATAACATGGATGTCCAATATCAAAGAAGTACTCTATAAACTAAGGCTGCATGTCTCAGCCAACCTCTTAGCTGGAGTATGGCTGCCATGTTGCACAACTCCGTCGTCACCATCATCATGCATACACGCCCATGAGCAATACTGCTAGCAACAATAACCATGAGAAAATCAATTTATGGGTTTCCTTTACTTTCCTATATCCACAATGGACCGTCAGAGCTCCGCTATTATCATATGACTGGACAGGTAGATGAAATAATTTTGTTTACAGTCTGACTGCTCTAACCAAGGCCGCTTAACAAAATTTTCTACAAATTTAACGAATAAAAATCCTGGAGGTTAACAACAGTGTTCCAACAAATTATTAATGTAATTGTGTGGTACATAACAAAGGCAACAGATCTGTGGTCACTTTGATCATTAACACTTACTATTTTAGAACTTTTAAAATGTAAGTGATCAATTTGCAAAGAATTTACTTAAGTGGCCTTAGTTGGAGTACCGTTAGTTGCACTGTAGCTGTCCTCCTGTGTTTTAATAATAAAATTAACCACTGAATGTGCATGAAATACATGTAACACAGTTATTGCCTTTGCATGTCCAGTATCATTCTCCTGTTTATGTAGTAAACAAAATAATGAACACAAGGTTTGTTATTTTCCAGTCATTTTATTTGAAAGAAATTTTATCGTTGCATATAAATATTTCAGCAAAGCTCTTCACGGAAAGCTTATTACTCACTTTAAATTCACGTTATTGAATGTAAACCACTCATCCTTTTAAACTGGTCCTGTGTAGTATGCTGTCATTTAATTTTACTCCAGGGAGACACATATTCTCTTATGCTATCATTTCAACCTGTTTCAAAGTGTAAAATGCACACTTCTCCTTGTTACAACAAAAAGTTCTTCCTCTTTTATTTGTTTTAATTAAAAAGGTATGAAAACAGTGTACTGTTCAACAGAAATCCACCTTATCAACATGTGAGACACTTTTAAATATGAAGTCATTATTTGTGGTTCATACTCTAAGTTATCATTTTCTTGTAATTAAATGTACAGTACAGTAGCACTGATGCTTAAAAAGTAGGCAATATATAGCATATGTAAAACAATCATTTTGTGGATAAATATTCTTACATGGATAATGCACATTCCATTTTAAAGTCATTATCATTTGTAACAGTAACTTTCATAAATCTGCCAATTAAAATTTGCCAACACTTACAATTCAATTGAACTTTAAAGTTTTTCTATCTAAAATAACAATGTTTTGAGCTTAGTACAACAGTAGCTATATTTTATGTAATTCATAGATTTGATCTTATTATACCATGATGTTATAATGATGATTAATGGTACACTTCAACAAAGACATCTAAAGTAAGTAAAAACAAGCACACCAAAGTATAAAAATAAAATGGATATATTAGTATATGTATGTGCAGTGTGCAATATTGGGTAAACTGTTAAAATGTTTTGTCTTCTTTGGAGTCAAAGGCTAGATTTCATCATCATCCCAGGAGCTGAGGGGAATTCATGGGTCGTACTTGTATCATTTGCTACCACTATCAAATAAAATTTAACCAAATGTACAGTTATTTTTTGTTCTGAGATGTGTTGCTGAATCTTGAATGTTTGTTTTTAGTACAGTCACATAAGACAAGCTCCCTGTGGTTGAGGTGCGTTAAAAGCTGTATTAATGAGAAAGTCTGAAACAAAAGCTGGTAAACTTGCTAGCCATATAAGAGCATACTTGGCATCTTTGCCAACTAAGTAGCGGTCACACGGAGAACTTGATATAAGGGCATCCACTATTGTGTTGACAACTTCGTTGATATCCAAATTACGGTATATTTTATTTCTCAGCACTTCAACACCTGAAAAATTTGTTGATAATCAAACAAGCCTACATTAGAGTTACAAAATTATCAGCACACTCTTTAAACTTGAGTCAAACATTTTGTTTTTCTAAGCAAAACTTTAGCAAGTTCCTTGTCATACTTTAATAATATTACTAAAACATGATATGCTAGTCAGTACACTGCCCCTTTGAGCATAAATTATCAAGGTGAGAAGCTTGGAGTATGAGCAGAGTACTGGGACGTTGTTAATACAGTTAAAACAAGAAATAATGGAGCAATAGACTTGGAAGAACAATGATGGGTCAACCAACATTGTGAGCTTATTTTGACACATTGCAGGAGGAAGAATTTTGAGTGTGTATCTGAAACATCTGGGAAATACACCCCAGAAGTGAGGCAGGCCTGTACCCAGTCACTGTCTATCCAGTCAGAAAAAAGCAATTTAGCTGAGGGCATCTAAAGCAAGACTACCATGCTGAACACTGGGCATTCTGGGAATGGCTCCAGATGGCCTTAGTTTTATTGTGTATCTTTCCAACTTGACAACTAGTGAGTGGGTTCAAGTCAACAGCTAATAGTTTTTTCTTTGTACCCCAGAACAGATCGATACCTGCATTTAAGTACTCCTCTCCATATTCATTCTTTAGCTCATCACTCAGCATGTTCCATGCCTGTCTTAGTTGCTGCTCAAACACATTAGGGGCACAGATGTTGGTTAAAAATGATCCTGGTTCAAGCATACTGACTTTGATTCCCCAAGGCTGCATCTCACGCCTTAAGGCATCAGAAAATGCCTCTACACCATACTTGGTCACACTATATGATCCATAAAAGTTGAATGAAACTCGCCCTATTGAAATGAGATGGTAAATGAGTTAAAATTAATTGGTGTGATTTTAAGAGTGGTTTTCAGTTGAGTGTCGTAAAACCAAAACCAAACCAATTACTTACCAATTAGACTACTCAGCCAATCTCGAACCGTTAAAACCAAAACCAAATTATGGTCACATGAACAATAATTTCTTAAGTTTTAGCTATAGCTATATGAATTTCAGAATTGGAAAGAGCATGTTTTAAATTTTTTGGTCCTAAAATTATGTCATTGAAAGGAAAATATCAACTGCTTCACCTTCACCGTCACATTCAGTCTTTCTTTTCTATGAATGGGAAGGATTTTTCCAAGTCATCATGTTACTTTCCAGAAGGTTTGTCTTCCTTTGAGATAATTATTCTGTTTAATCAACAATATAATATTTTTGTAGCCTTGTGTCATTCACCAACCTGTCAAACTGCAGAGAAAAACCCTTACGTGTAGCCTCTGCTGTGGATGCTCTGTGGGCTTGTCACACAGTCATTACTCCTCAAGCCCAGTAGCAGGCTCCTTGAGATTCTGTGACAAACCCAAAGCGCATTTGTGTAGGGAGACTAGCCTTAATGTACAAGTACCTGCAATGCTTGATAAGTTAACTACTCGCCCACGGGTCTTCTTGATTAATGGGAGAAAGGTTTTAGTGACATCAATCATTCCCCATAGATTGACGTTGGCACTGCGTCTGAAGATGTCTAGTGGCGTCCATTCGATGGGGCTGAAGTAAAGAATTCCAGCATTGTTTACCAGGCCCCACAATCCAGCTGAAAGACAAATTAAATACTGTCTGGCAATTTTACAGTATCCTAAGTCCTAAATCCTAAGCATCTGTCCCTTTAAACACTTGCTTCAAATGATTATAAGAGAGTTCAGGCAAGGTATAACTTCTTTCACGAATTATAGCATTATCACACAAATGTCATCATTTGACGATAACTAACAACTGCACCAATTAGCAGGAGGAAAAGAAACAGTGGTAAACAATCTGGTTGTTGTTGTCAAATCATGCCACATTAATTTCAAAAACTATTGAATTTCATTTTACTTAATGCCATACCAAACAGTGTTGATATACATGTTATTGCGGTTGTTCATGGTACCGTCACGCAACGCTTCTTCCTCACTGCGCGGCGATCGTCACGCAATGCTGATCGATCCGGGAAAATTGCAAAGCGTGCCCAAAGAGCTTGCACAGATCTGAAAAGTAGCTAGGCTACTGCAGAAACCACCCACCCCTTCCTTTCCCAGTGTAGAATGTCGAATTTCTGATGAATTCTGCCAAAATTATTGGGTACTTCACAATGACGATCAATGACTGACTTTTGGAAACATGCGCGCAACTGATAAATACAGTTTGCAACGTACCAGAAGAAATTTCCTTCTTCACCTCGCTGTATACATCTTTGATCTGTTGAGAGTTGGTCACATCCATCTGGAAAGTTTTCAGTTTGTCGCTCGTCACTGATTTCAAACCCTGCTCTCCTTCTTTCGTTAAGCAAGTCGCCAACACAAAAGCTCCCATCTTGTCCAGTGTGATGGCTGTTTTCCTTCCGAAGCCCGAGTCGCAGCCCGTGATAAGAACATATTTTCCCTTCAAGTCAATTTTTGACCTTGGCAACAAACACGCGACAAAATAGATAGTGATCAGGGAAATAATGACCAGGAGGATCCACGATGGCAATAAGGATAGAAAACTCGCAGGATTCATTGTCCCGTCGGTGAGTGCAGCACCTCAGCCCACAAACCGAGAGAGGGCTGGGAAGAACTTGACGTCGTCACGCGATCTTCACCCGGCTTCGTCATGCAATCTTTCTTCTAAACGGAAGGCCTTCAAAACCCTTGTGATGTCCCTGAAAATTCGTGTTTATCCAAAATTTAATCGCCTTTGTATTTTGATATAAACTTATAAAAACAATACTTGGGACATGGGAGAATTTCAAAGCAGGAGTTGGGTGGGAGGACCTACGAGCTCGAACATTTCATTTTTGCCCGAGGAATGGGAATTTTGCGGGGAGGGGGAGAGGAGGTTGCCCGGGTGATGTTGAAGTTTCTAATTTAATGGTACGGTATCCCTATCTATCAGTTTTATCTATATTTCTTTATCAGTATATTTCCGTCCTTTCTTGTTTCTTTCCTTTTTTTACTGAAAATGCGATTCGTAGCGTAGAACAGCATGTCAGCATCCGGTTGCTTCTTCCTGTTTTCCCCATGTCACAGCAATGGAAGCGTTATTGGCAGCCAATGCGGAAAACGCTAGTTATCTTACTCTTTCAGCCTCTTGTCGTTTGATATGTAATGGTAACAGGACTGGGGGCATAGTCTAACATCTGGACTGGACCCTGGACTCTGGACTCTGGACTCTGGACTCTGGACTCTGGACTCTGGACTCCAGATTAAAAAAATTTTAAAAAATTTAAAAAATAAAATAAAATAAAAAATAAAAAGACAGGGTTTTTTGCCTCATGTCACGTGACGCTACCCCTAATCTTTTCATCTGAAAACATTTTCAGCCATCTTTAGTAGTAATCTATAATCGGAAATGATCTTCAGGTAATAGAAAAAAATATGTGTGTGTGTTGAGGGGGTTAAGGAGGGGAGGGAAAGAAGGCATTAAGACACCAGTTGGTACTTTTACAGCCAATGCCATCAAAATTGTTCTTAATTTGAAAATATGAATCTTGCAAAGCTCTTTATGTCTTTTCCTGGTCATCATGCTATAAATAATGGAATGAACATTTTTGAAAATAATTCTAGAATGATTTAATATTTTATCAGGAGTTGTTGGGGGTGTCGCTTCCCTTACTCATAGCTTTCTGGGTTATAGGAAACACTCCCTAATTCCATTTACCTTGAAAGATAAACACTTTTTGTTGTACAGGTAATAGAAACGTCACGAATGTTCTGTTTAAACTGGTGCATGCAGAGAAGAGGTGGTTACTACAATAAAGAAAATCATTCAGTTGACACCCAGAGCATGTGTACTGGTAAATATTGTAATCGTAAGCTAACGTATAGTGACGTTTTAATATTAAAACTGTTGCAATATATCCTACAACAATCATTTCTATGTGTTTTAGGGGTTTGCTTACAATCAGCAATTGTTTTCTGTCATCCACCCCTTTGCACCATAGATAAAAAAACAAAATACTTTGCCAAAAATGTGCATGCACCCTCCTTCCTCCACCCCACCCCCACCCCCACCCCCTCTGTTTTCATCTTATAATGAGGCAAAAACCCTGTGTTATAAACAAAAACCCCTATTTACAACCCAGACTTTGTCAGTATCTTTATTCAATATATATTTTTTATTTTTTCAATTTTATTTTTTAATTTTTATTTATTTATTTTAATTTTCTTACTTTGACAAAACTGCACGTGTACCCTCTTTCCTTGCCCCACCAGGAGGTGGTAGTGTTGTGTTACATTCCAGAAAACGGCTGTCATGTGACATGTGCCAAAAACCCGGCGGTGCCAACCTTGTACAATTTTAATTTTTGTTTCAGTTTAATTGATTAATTAATTAATTAATTTATTTTTTGATATTTTTTAATCTGGAGTCCAGAGTCCAGAGTCCAGAGTCCAGAGTCCAGGGTCCAGGGTCCAGTCCAGGTTTTAGACTATGCCTAGGACTGGGTGGAGTCCAATTCGGTCGGTTATCATAAGAGTGATAACAAAATCGGATGACCGCGCAGCGGGAGTCCGATTTGTTTATCACGAGTATGATTATAGACCGAATTGGACGATACGAAGTCTTATTACCAATTAATCATAAAAATTACAATTTCTGAGAAAAGAAGAATAGCCAAGTTATGAAAGAAAGGGAAAATTTTCATTAAAATACCTACAAAGGAGGTGTAAACATCACGGTTAATTTTTCTCCTTTGCATTACAATGTAATCCAACGTGCATTCGAGGTAATTTCGGGCTAAAACTACAAAATAGTCCGAGATTGTCTCACATACATGCTAGATTTTATTGTAATGCAAATGAGCAAAGGTAACCGTGAAAAGGGCTATTTAGGTGCCAAAAACACAAAACCGCACGCACGCACGCACGTACGAAACTACAATTTTGAATGTGATTGGTTGATTTAAACTACAACTTTAAATGTGATTGGCTTATTGTGCTGTCCGATAATAAACTGTCCAATAACAAATTGTCCGATAACAACTTGGCAAGTGAATTAGTGGAAAATAGGAGTTTTTTAAGCCAATCACGATCGCGGAAATTGTAATTTTTATGATTAGGTTAGAAAAGCGTATCTGCCTATGTACAGGAAAAAGAAATTTAATTACTTGTAATTAATATAACAGAGTTTTCCCTCCTCGTCTGCAGTCCTTATAAAAACGACAAAAGATAAACAAGAAATTTGTTTACTGAACAATATCCTTTTAGTAATTAACTCAATTACTTTTAATTGTTTTTTAAATTGTCTTGCGATTTTTTCTTTAACTGCGTGGCACGCCTGGATATATAGGTTGTAAGACTAATGGGCTGCATAAATGATTCTGGCGTTTCTCCGCTCAGAATCCTCGCTATGACTTTGATTCTTATTGGTTACTAGAGAAGGTTCCAATGGTATTAGATAAAAGAAAACATGTCCGGCAAGATTATCATTTTTTTAATTCTTTAAATTCTTTGAATATTCAATTTTAAAACACCTAACTACATGATCATCGAGTTAACTCGAACTCGTTTCTCCTCGGCACCAACTTCGTCGCCAGAGCTTTTAACCTTGAAATTTAATTTGGTAGGGGCAGAACGGAATAGCCTTAGGAACGAGGTTGCTTTGGCCCAGGGCCTGGCCATATAACTGACAAAAGTCTAAAGAGAAAGTCAGTGATACAGGCGGGCATCATTGACAACCATGCCAAAGCTTTAGCATCGTGTCCAATGACGTAGTGTGTCTGCGGATCACGTGACGTAAGAGCGTGAAGGACACTACTGACCACTCTGTCCATGCGCGGGGAGGTTACAATGTCGAACCGCTTCATGCTTTCCACACCTGTCCAGGAATAGAGATAAATTGCACATCAGATTAGCAAATAGATTCCACGTTGTCGTACGTCTGTGCAGTAATAGAAGACAGATGACGTCAAATGTGGTGAGAACAAAAAAGTGGCACACGAGGAGATAACCGAATGTGTCACTGATATGTTCTAACCACAATTTGACGTCTTCTGTGATCAGTTAGTGAACAGACGCACGGCAACATGGCATCTATTTGCTTTATATAACAAAGAAACAAAAAAATGTTGATGACGTCATCTACGTGTTTGTCTTCCAATTGATCAGTAGAAAGAACCAATAAAAATGCGAGAATTATCCAACTTATCATATAACAATATATCGCTCACTTCCTTTAACCCTTTTTATGTCGCTTACAAATTAAAGCCAAACCCTTTACGAAGTACAAAAAACTTTCGAACGCGGAAAACCATGCAACGAAGAATATTTAAAACTGCTTGATGTGACTGTTACTGGTTCTTTTTCTTAAGGAATGCACGTACTAGAACTCACTCTAAGTTCAGGGCCGCTACAGGCAAGGTCCAGCTAGTTTTGTTGGCGTGATCTGTTAGATTACCTCTTTGAAGTCCTTCGTTGCCTCCGTATTCCTGCTTCATTTCTTCGCTGAGTCCACTCCACAAGGACTGCCACTGTTCCGCTAAAATATCGCCACTCACCAGTTTAGTTTTGTGAGCTCCAGCCTCAATAATACTCACATGTACCCCCCAGGGGGACATTTCTCGCCTCAGGGCATCAGAAAAGGCTGAACAACCATATTTGGAGATGGTGTAGGCAGACAAATAGGGAAGAACTATTCGACCTGATAAAACCGAAACACTTCGTTATGAGCTTCCTACAAATATTTCCACGTAACTATACTCTGTGGCACTTGAAAATACCTCAGTTTTGGGTCATTTTTTATTCCAGCTGACAAGTCGTTCAAATTTTTTTCGTATTTAGAAATCTTCTTTGTTGAGGGAATTAAAGTAAGCTTGATTTTTCTGTCTTTTCTGATAGCTGGACAACGTTAAAGAATACTCCCTGGAACCAATTATGTTCAGAAAGACGCAGTGTACAGGTGTCATTCATGAGCAAACGACTAGTCACGTGAATGGGATCACGTGATTAGCCGATGCCAAGATCTTTTCCAGTCCCTTGCAAACCTCATTCTTGAGTTTCTAGTTTTCATTCAGTGACGACCTTACCCAAGATGCTTCCGATATTGACAATGCGTCCACGCGCTTTTTTCACCAATGGGAGAAAGGTTTGCGTGACAAATATCGCTCCCCAAAGATTAACATCTGCGATGCTTTTAAAACTGTCCAGCGGTTGCAACTCAATCATGCCCACCGATAGTTTTCCGGCATTGTTTACCAGTCCCCACAGTCCTGTGGAGTGAATGAAGTCGTCTAAATTACTACACATTGCCTGTGCACTTTTGGAATTGCTTGTCGAGCAATGAAGTTGTTGCTTTCTCGATCGACCAATTACATGGAGGTGGTCTATCCATCTATCTATCTATCTATCTA